GAAGTGCCACCAGAACTGGAGATGAGGAAATCTTTCAATGAGGACATCTATTAATGACAGCTATCATTTTGGCATTTTTCCCCCTTACTTCCTGAAAAATAATCTAGTTTCCGCCATCATCATACAGCGTAGATGTTTGAATCTCCTGCAGGGCTATTGTATTCTAACAGCAGCTGCTGTCAGAATACTCACAGTCACTGCAGCTGATTGCAGTCACTGTTCGGCCAATAATTTTCCATCTGGCTCCTTCGCTTTTACCATCAGAGGATGTTGGGCAGAAGGCTGCCGACAGGGCCACCCACTGAGTGAATTTTGGCCAGTTTATCAAGAACCAACCAAAAGTTGCTCTGTGTATGGCCAGCTACAGACAGGAAGGGAAATCTCCCCACAGCACTGACAGGGGAATAAGCATTCCCTACTTTATTTAACACAAACAAAAAATGTTTTAGCTTTACGTATACCTTAATTAAATGCACAACACAGAAGTGTCAAGTCCCAGAGGCCGCAGAGCTGGGTCCATATCTGCCTTTAAGACAGAGTAAGTGTAAAAAAATACCACATACATTTTTAATTAAGCAGACACGCTAGAACTATAAAATTGTATCAGTGTATGCAAGATGTTGTGTAAGAGTCAAACCTTAGGGTCTGGGCTGCCGACCCACTGCAATGCACCTGCACTATTTTTCTAACACAACGCACTGCAGCACACTGCGATGCACAGCTGTGGCAATGGCCTCCTATGTATTATTGTGCATTAACGCAACACATGTATATGAATGGGCTGATCGGAACTGACAGGCACCCATGTGAAAGGGGCCAGGGGCCTGAGAGTTTTTGTTGTGAATGACTTTTTTCAGCTAGCTAAAAAATCACTAGCATCAGCAGCTAAACATGTTATCCAATGCAGCTGCTGGAAGCATTTTATTCAGCAGCAGCAGCCCTGTTGCCAGTTAATCTCTAAAGAAAAAAAATAAAAACAAGCAGAAATTTATAGATGATGCAAATCTTTCATACAAAGTTGATGTTGTGGCATGGTCCTGAAGGCCTCCTTAAAAAAAAAAAAGGGCAAAAATGCAGTCATGATCTGACTTCCCTATGGCATATATGACAACTGCTGAGTCCCTAAGCATGAATAATCACAACAAGCAACTGTTAGTGTTAAGCCTATGGAGGGTCAGAGGAGGCCCACTGCAGACACTTCGGGCACTGAATTATCACAGGAGAAAACCAGAAGCATTCGGATGATGTTCTGCAGCTAAGCCACAGCCAGTGGCATATATTGATGCCCCTATCAAGAATAAAATGATAGACTATCATCTAATGTCTATGACTTAGTAGTTAGCACTGGGTTCCTCGGTTCAAATCCTGGACAGGTAATGCATCTGGATTGATTTTGCATGTTCTCCCACTGCTTGCATGGGTTTCTGCAAGACATGGTGGTAACTGGCTCCTGTCTAAGATTGGCCAAAGTATTATTTTCTACTTGGCATGCCCTAGATAGCTGCTTCTCCTCCTATCTGCCGTAACACCAAGTTGATAAGTGCTTTGAGTCCTCCGAGCAAAAAGTGCTATATAAATGAAAAACTCTAATATAGGTGATGTTGATGTTTACATTTTAACTGAAGGTAAACCAAATTAGACTGGTCTCACAAGCACGAGCTGAAACTGCCACACCTGCTAAATAATTATAATTAAGCGGAAGTTTAACTTTGGAAGAGAAAGTTCCTACCTTTAACTGTAGACCTCAGAACATACTATAGTTAATAGCTAAATCCTAAACTTGCCTAAGGGGAAGCTGAACCTTGATAAAAGCATTTCAGTTGTGTTTACATTAGTAAATTATAACTGTTGAATCCGTGACTAGTTCCTTCCGCGAGTACATCATAAAATAATTTTGTCACCATCATGAGCCTCTGTGACAACCCAGTACCCAGACTTATTGTCTGCCTAAGGCTCATAACAAACAAGACAGCCATATGAACTGTAAAAGGACAACAAATGAACATTTCCTCCTTCCTCCTTCCTGCATTATATCTCACTGCTTTATTAAATGGATTTCAACCGGAATAAAACTTAAAATTTAAAAATCCCCAGTTTTAATAAATTGGAACAAGGCATGGTAAGTCAGTAATGGTGACAATATCAACTGCAGGAAGCCTAAAGACAATGCTGGTCACTAGTCCATTACCCAACACTTGCTTTTTTGGGCACAGCTTCCATAGTCCATGTACACTTGAAACAAATTAAGCTATTAAGCAGATGCAATACACAACAGGGACCCATTTGCTTTGCCTTTATGCCCCTGACTCCATCCATTGGTAGGAGCCAATTTAAAGCATTATTAGTCAGTCACTACAACAATCAGGCTGCTGTACTGTCAGTGGGTGGGAGATTGGAGGAACATTTAAAGGAGAACTATGGGGTAAGTGTTTTTCCCCGTAGTGCTCCTAAGGGTCACGGGAGGACATAAACCAGCGTCCTCCCGTGACCTAAAGCTCAGTATATCGCGAGCTACAGCTCGCGGTATACTGAGACCGCAGCAGCCAGGACAGATTCAGACATTACTGTCGAGATCCACCCAGCTGCGTGAGTGACAGCTGGCTCTGCCTATCTAGAGGCAGAGCCAGCTGTACCCGCCCCCTCCCCGTTCACGGCTCTCTGCAGGGAGATGATTGAGAAGTGAGCGAGTGACTGTATGTGTTCGCTCACTTTCCGATCTATTGAGCCGACGTGTGACAGTTTAATTGTCACACGTCGGCTCGAACTATGAGGATGAGTGAAAATCACTCACCTCATAGTTCTCCTTTAAGTCTCTCCAAGTTAACACCAGAAATGATAGTACAGCAGGTGTTGCTTTTATTGAATGTCTGGCTACTCACATGCTAAAAGGAGGGAAACACTGAATAAGAGGTTCAGTTACTGTAAAGATATCCAAAGATGAGCTGCATTTTGTACAGTGTGGACTGGCATTAATTATTAAAGACAATAAGAATACTAATGAAAGAATGAGTGATCCATTTAGTCAGTCCATTTAATACTTGGTAGTCCTTTGTCTTAAGGATGAATATGCATTTAACCCTGACAGATCTTAATTTAGTTACTTCTAATTTTAAGTTAAAGTGTCAGCAAACAGCTAAACACAAAGTTGAAACATGTACATATGCATTGAAACGTATGATACCTGCCTTTTTGTAATGATGTTTAGCCCGTTTTCTAACCCCAACATCATAACCAGGGCCAGGCTATTAACATTTCTCCACTGCAGTCAACACAAAGTAGCTTGGTCAAGACTGATTGGACAGTGAAAGAGCAGAAGTTCACCAATAACAATTATTTTTGTTATTTACTGCTCAATTTTCCCTTTCCCTGGTTATTGTAGATAGAGGAATCTGCACTGCCAGCTATTGTATTCAGGCAACCCCGGCTGCTGAATGCAGTGGCACCGTGTCACTGTTCGTCCAATAATGTTCCACCCTGCCCAAAGGATGAACAGGAGAAAATCAGTAGATTTCCCCATCCATGCTAAACAGGGAGCCCACAGCTTGAATTTTGGCCAATTTATCAGGAAAAGTCAAAATTTGAGCAGTCTATTGTCAGCTTTAATTGTTGCCTATTTAAACAACAGTGAGTACAACACGGACATTATTAAATAGTAGCCAATAAGGGCATACATACTGTATATGCAATGATGTGAGTAAATGGTATGTAAAGCATTGTGAATTGTCTGTGTTATTAAAATGCCTATATTAAAGAAATGCATTTGGCACTTAGGAATGGTCTTTTAAAACCCAACTCCCTTAAAAGTTTTTTTTTTTTTTTTTTTTATTGTTTTCAATACATCATCAGGAAAATGACCACTAACAGGTTACTGTTGTGTAGAGAAAATATTAATTCCGGTCCCGCTAATAACCAACCAGTGAGAAGAAGCGTCCCAAGGGGGCACAGATAAATACATAACTGAATGTTATATTGTAAAGCGCTGTGCAAACTATTGGCGCTATATAAACCCTATATAAACCCTGTATAATAATAATAATAATTATTATTATTATCTTTCCCACTCTGTCCAAAGTAAAATAAAAAGGTTTTTGTTTGAATTTGGCTGCTGTAAAATATACACACACATATTTAAAGAAAACATACACACACAAGTATGGTATGTACTGACTTTACAAGTGTGCCCTTTTCCAGAGCTGTCAGATCAATATCTGTTCCCCTGCTGTCATCTCTACTGTTGACACTTCCAGGTACGCAGAAGTCCCACTGGGTGGCCACTGATGAAGTAACTCCTGTGCGGTACAGTTTACACAGAAAACAAAAACACTGCCGAGAAATAATTTTTTGGCAGAAGACACTTTGAATGTCTCTTCTGCCAAAAATCCCCACCTTCCAGCAATCGTTTTTATTTAATTGACTTTACTTCCGCTTTAATAGAGATAGGTAACTCCCTAAAGAAACACTGATCTGCCATAAAAATTGTGTCCCCCCATTTAGAAGTGCTCCTGTTAAAGCAGTATTAAACTTTCAAACTTTTTTCAGCTCAGCTTCCCTGAACGTTCAGTACAACACAAGATCACAAAGGACAGTGCAGACTCCAGCAACTGTTCATCTAGCTTGAAGAAGGGAGAATAGGGGGCCAGGGAGTAGCTTGATTGGCTGTGTTTGTGGAGACACACACACAGGTGACTGGATAGCACTCTGCTTGAGAAAGGAGTCACTCCAAAACAGGAAGTCAGGACCAGAGCTCAGGAAACCAGCTGATTCTGCAGGAAACTAAAACTTTTAAACTTCAAGGGGCAGCATTTATTGTAAGTGATTTCATCAGCATTTGAAATAGCTTAACATCCTTTTGACTTTAATATAATTTTAAGTGTGCATACCTGTATGTGGACATTAAAAATATATTTTCTATACCCAAACAATGTTCATTGTGTTGTCAGTGATATTTTCTTTGCCATTATACAAGAATGTTATACATTGCAACACGCACTAATATTTACCTGGGACATCAATTAATCGCTTATAGACATTCAAGAAGGCAGCTTCAGCTTCTTTGCTTCTTTTACTTAATGCATCGATCTAAAGAGAAAAAAAATACCTTGTTTAACATTGGGCCCAACCATTTTTGAATCTACATCAATATTTGAAGGAAAGAGGTTAGTTCAATAGGATGTAGTGACTCAACAGTTGTAGCATTCGTGTATCACTCTTTTAACTAGTTGTGCAGTGTACAATCAAAACACAAGATAGCAGACATTAAAACAAACACAGAATTGAGTTCTGAATCAGCTTTTTTGGGTTGACATAAATGCATAAATGAACTGAAGGATATTTGCTGTAAATGTAATTTAGAGACTGCCTGTACAACTTGTAAAATGAAGCATCCAGCAATGCTTCCACATATTCTCTGTTGTCCTGTAGAGCCCCATAGGTACAAATACTGACTCGCAAGGTGAAGTCGGTACTCAGTTCTGCCCCCTTCTGCATCCCTAACCTCTCTTGGTAAAAGGCAGCCCACCATATTGATAAACAATGTGTCTTGATAAAGATGATTTAAGCTCCTTTGAAACTTTGACAATACAATGCTGATGCTTTGACTTCTCTCCGCTGCGAGACCCATGAGTGCCTCTATACTTGCTTTATATTTATACTGATAAACAAGCATAGAAATGTGACAGACAGGAGGGGGCAGGAACAAGCAGCGGATTCAACTAATAAATCAATATTTGAATTATAAAGTGCCTTGGAGTTGGGGGCTGCCGGGCCCCTCTACAAGATAACAGAGGATAGATACAAGCTCCTCTGAGTGTTCCCGCTAGAATGCTGGTATCAATTTATATAAGAATTACAAAAAAAATTGTTTCAGTTTAAAGTGATATTAAAACTTCATTTTTTTTGTTTTTATTATTAACAGGGCCAGATTTTATTGAAATGCTTTTTGTTTTTAAAAACTTTTCGCTTCCTTGTTCCTTTTTAGTCCCCATACCGCTAGCCCCCCTCCCTGTGTGCGGGTGTCTCTATCTGCAAGCCAGCTGCTTAGGAGACGCCAGTGTGCGCTTGTTCCCGCAGCTAGCTGTGTGAGTCTATAGACAAGTGCCCCCTCATGCCCCCACTTCCACAGTCATACTTTGACTGACCGGCAGAACAGGGACCATGGGGAACAAAAGTAGCCTCCCTCCAGATGGAAGGACAGTGTCAGCACCAATTCAGAGATGATTTCAGGATCTACAGCCGAGTAATACACAAATTAGATATATTTTTGTTAATAGTTAAGTTAAAAGGAGAACTATGGGGTTAGGGATTTACCCCATAGTTCTCCTTAGGGTAACGGGAGGACACAAACTAGCGTCCTCCCGTTACCCTAAGCTCAGTATGTAGATGTATGCTGTAGCACGCGGTATACTGAGACGCCGCAGCGGATCCCGGCATCGATGTCGAAATCCGCCCAGCTGCGTGAGTGACAGCTGGCTCTGCCTATCTAGAGGCAGAGCCAGCTGTACCCGCCCCCTCCCCGTCCGTTCCGCCAGTCAGCGCTGGCAGATCGGAGCGGGGAGAGGGGAATTCAGCCCCTCCCCATGTCACGGCAGAGAGCCGTGACAGGATCGAGAGGTGAGCGAACCCGGTATGTGTTCGCTCACCTCCCGATCTACTGAGCCGACCTGTGACAGTCTCATTGTCACAGGTCGGCTAGAACTATGAGGTGAGTGGAAATCACTCATCTCATAGTTCTCCTTTAATGCAGAGAATGTGTTAAGGTAACAAAGCGCCTAGGCCTTTAGTGATACTTCAAATTAAAAGTATAGATCAATTTTAATGAGCACACATTTAGAAGAATTATTGCAGTGTTTACATTAGGTGATTTTTAATGTGACATTCACATCTTTACAAGCTCTTTTTTTTTTTTTAATAAAATGTCGAGATTTGGAAATTAGGCACTAGTGGCGTGCTAGATTAGCAACTACATTCACTCAAAACCTATTATAAAGGTATCATTTATACAGGGAGTGGACGTTTTTTAATTAGCCAACAGACACATAGATCTACATTTTGAGAAGGAGCAGTAAAGCACAACCATGGTAGAGCACTGTAGAGCAGGAAGCACAGCCTGCAGATGTACATGGCTGCAACAATAACCACAAACTATATGCAGAAAAAGTGTTTTTTAAATATTACCACAAATTGATGAGATTATTTAAATCACTGTATATCTAAAACAGATTTGTAAAGATTTTACATCCCCTTTAAATGCTGCAAGCGAGCAGGAAGGATATATATTTCTTGGTTGCCAGGTTGCGTTTCTTACTATGCATTTTAACTGCTGTCTGGAATTTTTCCTTTAGGCTTCCTCAAATGTTCCTGTTAAACCTAAACGCCTCCAAGAACCAGACCATCAAGAAAAAAGACAGGAATCAAGTTTAGCTGTTTAATCACTCTTTTCCACAAAAGTGCATGGTTAGTGGTGTGTGTGGGTACCTCATAAAAAAGTATCACATTTGTGCAGATGTCAGCTGGTCTTGCTGGAGCAAATCTTTTCATGATCTTCACCAAGAACAGGTAGTATATGATATTAATACCCGTTTTTAAGAAAATGGCCTGATCAGAGGATCTTGCATGTCATCTTATGTTTATGGGCACATTTTTTTAAAACTTGCAGCCCCCCCCAAAAATTGAAATCACCACTTACACTATTTAGCAGCCTCCTCTAGGGGCATCTACAGCAGGGCTCAAAATTTCCACTCGCCTACTCGCATTTGGCGAGTAAAAATAAAGTGAGGGCGTAAGGAAATTGTGGAAATTTGTGTCTCCAAGTACCGGTCCGCGGACCAACTCCGGACTGCGAGCCGGTACTATGTGGCCCGCACCCAGCTGACATGTCAGGCACACGATCGCAGACCGCATACCTGACTTGCGGGAGCAGCTCCACGGTCTGCATCTGTGTCGGATGCAGACCGCAGAGCAGCTCCTGTCAGCTCTGGCTTCCTTCAGCCGGAGCTCTGACAGTTCTGTGCTCCAGCCGAAAGGATGAATCGATCCCTGGTTATCTGTGAGTGATTAGTGAGATCTGCTGCAGACCACACTAATCACCCCCAGATAACCAGGGATCGATCCTGCTCACAGCCTCCTCCCTGCAAAGACGGGAACAGGTGAGGGGGCTGGGGGGAGGGGGTTGAGTGTATTATTATTTTGTGTGGGGGGGGTTAATAAGAGGGGGAGAAAGGGTAAGGGTTAGGTGGGGCAACTGGTGGCTGCTAACTCCTGAGGCCTGGCTAGTAGCTCAGGACTTTAAATTTTGAGCCCTGATCTACAGCACGTGGAAAATTGTGTGGAGCACTGAGGAATCCCTAAAATTTGGAGTGCACTATTAGATTGCAAATAGCAACCAGTTTTTTGGTCCATGGCACCGACTGACCCCTTCTCATGGCTTATTATTGAATAGACAGGCTACCCATCACAGTGATGGAGCAACAGTAAGTGTCACAAGGGACAGGCTTGGAGGCAGTGATCAGGTAAAGTTGTTTCTTTTTGAATGTCAAAGCATCCTGAGCTTTGGCGTTCCCAGAGCCCTTTACACAGCAGACCTTGTTGTATACATGTAGCTAGAGGCAATCACTTGGAAATATAAAAGCAATATATAGCAGTCATTTACAGTAAATCACTTAGTCTAAAGTTTTTATAACTCACAGAACACATTATATAAATTATAAATCACAGCCTCGAAATATAAAAGTACACAAGAGAAATATTCTAATGGGGGAATTTCCACTTGATTCAAAACATACTGAAAATAAAAGCCAACATCATTTTTTTAAAGGGTAAATCTTTATATTAAAATTCAAGTTTCACAAAGCTTACTGCACATTCATTTTAAAATTAATAAATTAATTTCTTATTCAACACAGTAGTATAAACAGTGAATGTAGCATTTTACCAATCAACATGTTAAGCCAGAGAACAGTAAAAATAAAAAAGTGTCACAAAGAAAATCAGCCAACACATTATGAAATAAAAATACTGCCAATGTCTGGCCGCTATGCCGTATAAATGTCGTCACACCAAGTAAATACCATAATTATGTTATTCTGACGAGAATAATATTTATACAGAAAATAAAAAGGCACCTAAGACAGTGCAGGGAAACGGCTATAGATCACAGAGGTCACTAATAAGCCAAGGAGGGACAGGCAAACTATCAAGCAGCTTTAGGCTCCTCTAATTTTACGGTGGTCTGTTTTATAACATAACATAAAAAGGCATCAAGAAAAATAGTTGTTCATTACTAAATATTTATATAGCTGTCAGTAAAAAAAAAATGTTTCCGTGGTTGGCAACCTATGCAGTAGGCACATTGTTTAATTTCTTCCCTTCATTCTAATTATATAATCGGTGTGTTTGTCCATTAAATGTGGCACATTCAGTTAGAGAGGGCTGTATGTGTAAAGCAACATAGTGCAATGGGATGAGAGCACATGAAATAAAAGGAATCATAACCACTAGCAGCCTAATGATTAAGTAAATCAAGTGGTAACCAAGGGTGCAGACCAAGGAAGCCTGCCCATGGCTCCCACATATGAAACAAGGGATTTGTATGGACAAGCATATTTTCTCTGCACCTATCTGTCCTTCGCAGTGTGTTCAATATAGCGCAGCTTTTAGGCTAGGTTCAAACCTAGGCGATTCAGATGCCGAACTGTTTTCGCGAGTTTTTGATCGCGCAACTGTTTATTGTAAACCGCGAGATTGTCGCACGTTTTTTAATGCGTAGAGATGTCTATGGGACCCAAATCGCGCGACAACCACCCAAAAATAGCTCCTCCACCTTTTCGCGTGACAAACCGCAAAGGTGTGAGCAGCCTCCATCAACTTTCATGCGAATCTGGTGTTTTGCGCAATATCGCGCGACTCAAACCGCATGATAAATTGCCTAGGTGTGCACCGGCCCTCAGGGTCTGTTTAAATTTAGAAAGTTGCAATAATTCATGCATTTTCAAAAGATATGATATACTGCAGCAGGTGCTGGTAATGAAAAAAAAAACAACAGTTCTGCAAAGTGAAGTGGAATAGTGGTGGGCCTTTAGATC